TAAAAATAAAAAAATAAAAATAAAAAAATAAACAGAATCAATTCCCATGATATACTGAAAGCTAATCTTAATTTTAAGCTAAGGGTTAAAGCTAATTTGAGAAAGAAATATGTTTCAGTCAAATTTAGACACATAAAGCTGAAAATTGGTAAAATTGTAAACAGTAATAATCTTTAACAAATTCTACAGTTATAATATTACATCAGAGAATTTCTAAATAAGGTCTGGACTTACCAACTACAATTTGGTGGTCTTTATTCTCCTCTGGCTCTGGGTCAGACTCTGGCTCCAACATGTAAGGCTGGATGGACAAGTCTTCCCTTGTTGACATATTTTAATAAATTTGTAAATAAAAGGTTTCTGTGCCGCTATATAGTCATAATAACCCCCTCTATCAAACTGGAATGGGCCAGTCTGGAAGCTGGAGGGGGGCGGGGCGCGAAGCGCCTCATTTGGATTTAAAGAGACAGCGTCAAAAATTTGTTGCATCGGTTGGGTCAAGGACTAAAGGTGGAAATTAGCACTTAGAGCTATAACATGATACAGTGAATCTCTATCTTTATGGTTAATGTATACTGTATAGTACTGTCCCTGTTTTCAATAAATAAATCATAAAATGAGTTGATCTGAGACACACCTCAGAAAAGGGGTGAAAGAGGGGCTTGTGGAGTTACAATAAGGAGGAATTCAGACCAAAGGATTGCAGTTCCACTTTAAATAGACCCCAAATGAATGATTTAAATGTTATAAAGAAAGATTTAAAAGCATGATGTGTCTCCTTTAATGCCAAATGCAATCTCCACCCACTTGTCAGTCATTTGTGGGGCGGCCAATTAGGTACCAGGGGTGTGGCCCTTGCCACCTCGGCCATCCCTCTGGCTCTGTCTCTGTCTTAGAGTTATTGGCAAAACATCCTTGTAGTAATAACACACTGTGCATTATCACCTGGCATCAACAAATTTTTCATTTCTTCACACAAGAGAACTTAAAAATTTGGCATGAAATTTGGCAGGTGATATTCATTCCATTGAGGATCAGCAGGTTTTTCATTACAACTGAGAAGTCAGACTTGGACCTCGTAACAGTGACTTTAATGAGCTAAAGTTGGACTAACCAAGCACAGAAAAGAAAAATAAACAAGGTCTGGATGTGTGAATAGAAACAGGCAAGACAGTTAAAGCAAAACACTAAAAGTGCAACAAATGAAACATGGATTTATTTCTTTCATTTTTACAATTTATACTACAGAATTACCAGAAAGCTTCTCTATCTAAGAAATCCAGGCTTGATAAGGGAAATATTTCCCCAGGCACAGATTAGGCTGTTTTGTACAGACGGACATCAACATTGGGTCCTAGGCTGCACTGTACAAGTAAAGCACACTTCTGTATTATAATAAACTACAGGCCCAAGCTTTAACGTAACCTGCTTACAGTAGAAATCAGGCTGCCGACACACTTCTCTAAAATACTTTGTGTTTTTTTTTCTCAGTATGGTCCTCGGTCCAGATCTGTTCACATTTGTAACAGCACAAAACATATGACAGAAATATATACCTTATTACTCAGAGGGAACAACGAATTGTTGAACGGGGTTGGAATGTTTAAAGAAGAAAACTTTGGGAATGGGAACCAAAAAGCTGCTATTCAGAATGAGAAAAATCAGGCAGCTTTAGGAAATAATCATGCACATGGAGGTTACAAGCACAGAAAAATACAATAATACAAAAAATACAATAAAACATGTTTCTATGGGCAGAATGTAAGAAAAACTTTGTGTTCAGATTTTAAAAATAGCATGATCCATGTTGAATGAAGAACGTTCCCTTCCACTTGAAAAAAAAAAAGGCAGCACTTCCTGAAGAGAAAACATCCATCGGCTCTGCGCACAGGAACACAAATGGCTTTAGTTAGTTCTCTGGAACACTAAAAACTGGTGCTCCAGCACAGAGATGAAAGGGAACCATGGCTTCATGTGGAAATAATCACTCAGGTTGTCGTTCCTGATGATCTTTTTAAAATCTAAGTCAAACCTTTACTCCTTCAGATGACACGGTGACATTATTTCACATGCTGATGAGAAGAAATCACTTTTGTCAGTTTAGGTCCCAGGAGAAAAGAAGATTTCAAAAGACATAAAGGTACATATTTATTGGTCCCAGATCCTGAGACAAAAACATCCATCATCTGTTTTTTTTAATGTTCATGTTTTCTCTGTGTTCCAGGTACGTAGTTATTGGTTTCACATTATGGCAGAAAGATAAACTCCACTTCCTTCCTCGACTGTTTAATGCCCATGATTCTTGCAGGAAACTTGTCGTAAACAGAAAATGTTACAAATGGCTTCACGGCTGATAAATTACACCCCCCCACCCTCTACTCTCGCACAATTTAACAGAAACCTGCTCATAAAACCTGAACAGAAACTAAAAATACATTCACCTTATTACATTTGTACATGCTACCTTTAGGTTCACTTTCACAAAACGCACTGAAAAATGATTCCTTGGATTCACGTGAGAGGTTTGGACTCTGGATTGGCGTCCCACTAGGTTTTGTTCACTTGATTTGGCACAGTCTTCTAGGACCACACACATTCATGTCCACATAGCTACTTTCCCCTTCAGCTACGACAGACACACAGAGACACATGTAGACAGAGACAAGTGTCCGAATAAGCAGCAGTGTTGCTCAGTTCTGTCTGTAATGCTACTGGTGCTGAGAACATGAGGTTCTCTGACCCACAGAGGAGCGAGTGCCTGTCCCCCGCGCTGCTCTGAAAGCTGCTCTGAGGCGTCCTCTGTGCGTCTTTTTCATCTTTGTCTCTTGGACATTTTTTTTTTAGCAGCGGTCGTCCTCATCTGTGTCACTAAGCAGCTCACTGGCATCCGTCGGACTCGCCTGGGCCAAGTGCTTCCGGAAATGGCCGTTGGGAACCTGCCAGGAGTGTCTGAGCTGAGGGGCGGAGCTTATGGCGTTGGCCCGCCCCAAACTGGTGGCGATGGCAGTCTCAAAGGTAAGCGTCTCCTGCCTGTCCCCCGCGTCGTCGCTGAGGTCCTCGTGGAACGGCAGATAGGGCTCCGATATGTAGCGGTGAGGGGATGGGTGGCTCGGTCCAGACACGGGACCCCCAGAGGAGCACTGGCCCGCAGACAGGGGTCTGCTCACCTTGTCAGCCCGCCACGACGTCTCTGTGGAGCCACCGGGACCGTCCTGAGGATTAGTTTGTCCCTCGGAGGAGGGTTCAGCCGTGGGAGAGGTGGGCGCTCGGCAGACGAGAGGGGAGTAGGAAATGTAGGGTCGTGGCCGGGACGGCGTCTGGGGCAGCTGGCGCCGATTGCGAGGCGTTCCGGAATCTGAGGCTGAGTTGGCCGGGCTGCCTGACGTGTTCACCTGGATTTAGTTCAAACACAATGGTGAGAAAAAAAATAGAGGACTGAACATGTACAATTTTTTTTCCAAAGTTTACTGTGTTTACATTGGCTCACAGGTGAAACCCAGATTCCTCTGGAGGAGCAATGAAACCGCTTGACTTCAAATCTGACACCAGCAGAGGCTGGATCACTCAGGATAAGTGAAAGAAACTTGATTTATTTCATACATTTTTTTTACATTCAATCTGATGAAGATGTTTTGAAGTGGGGTTTTGTGGAAAAATGATGAACAGTTAAAATCTTACCTGTTGTAGATAATAATTTAACAGCCTGAGTTTGAAGAGAAAGAGCTTAATTCTGAGTTAATTCATGAGTAAACAACAAGACCATGAAGGAGCAAGGCCAAAGTGATCACTGCTGCTTTAAAACAACCTTAGTCTCAGAAATTTAATAGTGGTTCATGTTAACACTATTTCATAAACCTTTATGTTGCCATTGATTCCACAATACATGAATATTTTGATAAAACTTTGTATTTCTGCTAAAATAGTCTTGCCTGAATCAGATGAGCTACAGCTATCTGCTACTGCTGTTATTTGAGTTGCTAATTACCCATATAACTCTATATAGATGAGGCTAAATCGATAACAGTTTAAAACAGGTGTGTCAAACTCTGTAACACAAGGCGGCCAAAATTCAGAACATTTTATCACAATCCACCAAATCAGGTAAAACAAACAAACAAACAAACAAACAAACAAACAAACAAACAAACAAACAAACAAACAAACAAACAAACAAACAAACAAACAAACAAACCTCACTA